TAGAAAAGTGGGTTTAGTCAGAGAAAGTCAGAATAGGTACTAAATATAGGCGGTAAAATAAATCATCGTTGATAGTATAAATATATTACTCTGTATTGGGAATCATGTAGAATATTAAAAACTATGTTACAGATTTATACATATATATGTATGTCTATGTATGTGTATATATCTACTGAGAAAGACAGCTTGAGGAGAGAAAGTGATATACAAGACGGAACAAAAACTAAGGAGTTTTTCATTCTAATTAAAAACAGATGTATTCTTAGTGAGGTTTTCAGGTTCTTAGAGAAAAGAGAACCTATAGCTTAAGTTTCCTCTGAGTGGCCAGCACATTATTTTACTACTGTTATAAGCACAGTATATGTTGCCATTTCCAGTTTTACTTCACAGTTTTGATAATTAATTTCATCCCTTACAAATAAACGTAAAACTCTTACGATTCTATGATAGTGCAAAGCCGTGGCATGAACGACGCTGCAAGGTGGCAGTTCTGGAGGAAGACCCACTGTTCTGCTTTGGTTAGCGCCTTAACAATGAGATCTTCTGCTTTGGCTGCCTGGCCCCTACCCAAAGAAATCATGGTCACATGATGCGTTGTTCCTTTTAATTCTTGTGCAAATCTCAGGAGAAGGCCAGTAGGGTCAATCCCTGTATGTGGGGAAGTATATAAAACCGTTAACTTATTTTATTCCCTCTTAAAAACACAATCCAGTATTTACTGAGTCGTGGTGGGAGAAGGTGTAGCCATAGTGGAAAGACTATAGGCTTTGAAATTAGATGGAGTCCAGAGTTCAGATTTTGGCTTTGTCACTCACTACCCAAGTGACCTTGGTTTTCTAACATATGGAGATGATAATATTGACCTAAGCAGTAACTGCTGGTTCTACTCCTATGTTTATTTGTCCCTTTCTCCTCTGTAGATGAAGCTCAGTGTTATCTGAGGTGGCTGTGTACCCAGCTAAAATGTTACATTTTTAGCTTCTCTTGCAGCTAGGTATGGACGTTTAAGTTTTGTGAATAGGTTTTGGCAGCAAAAGTTTGTTAGCAAAAGTGTTGTGTAATACTTCGGATGTCTCCTTAAAGGGAGCAGATGTGCCCTTCTTTCTTTGCTCTCTTCTGTTGTTTACAACATGGATGTGATGGCTACAGCCCCTAGCGGCCATCCTGGGTTGAGTTTTGAAGAAATTGACAGCACTTATTATGAGTATGTCAGGCTTACAACCAGTTGCCATCAAGTCCATTCCAACTAATGGCGACCCCAGGTGTGCAGAGTAGAACTGTGCTCCGTAGGGTCTTCAAGGCATCAGCCTTTTGGAAGCAAATTGCCAGGCCTTTCTTCCAAGGCACTCTGGGTGGGTTTGAACTGCCAACTTTTTGGTCAGTAGTCAAATGCTTAACCAATTACACCACCCAGGGACTCCGTGAGGCTTATAGTCAGGTGTTTTACACAAGAAAATCTCCAGGTGAGAAAACCTCCAGGTGGAGGCACTCTGGCTAAGGTTTTTGCTTAATGGGCTCAAAATTTTAAAATGGTGAATTCTGAAGACAAATCAGATTTGGAGGCTATGAAGAATGGAAGATAAACGAAGAAAATATTTTGCTTAGGCTCTGTACAGCAAACACAGGATAAAAGAAAAATAAAAAAGGATTTGGAGGACTACAA